GTACTATACTGGATTCATGTGCAGATCCGGGAGGCAGATGGGTCTGGGTGAAAGTTGCAGTGGGACCTGAAGATTGGGGCATAATGTCAATATATGGCCCCATGGAATATAATAAAAGGATTGAATTTTTTGCCAACCTCCCAGCTATCATCCCTGATGCAGAGGATTTGATATTGCTGGGTGATTGGAATACAATATTCAATACGGGTCTGGACTCATTAGTTAATTCTCCATTAAGGAACGATTCAATAATTTTGTCGTCTTTTAAGGAGTCTCAAAGCTTGGTTGACATATTAAGAGAATTAAACCCCGAAGACCCAGACTTTACCTGGTACGGCCCTAGACCTAGGTCTTCTTTTCCTCCATCGAGAAAAAGGTTGGATTTCATATTGGTCAGGGGAGCCCCGTGGGACAGATGCATGTGGTCAGATTTGAAGTCGGCGACTTATTCAGATCATTACCTGGTTTTAATGAATGTCATTTCAAGAGACTCGATAGAAAAACACAGACCTCCGTTCAGGAGGAGGGTATAAGAAATTGGGTAAATGACCAAATGAAAGAGTGGATGAATGCGAAAGAACTGCTCCACGGGAATGAAGAGGATTGGGCAGTGGTTGGAATAGGGATAATAAGGGCGACCGTTATGGTCTTCTCAAGAATGAAGGCGGCAAATAGAAAGTGGAAAGAAAAGACCCTGTTAAACAAGATTGGAGAGGCGGAAGCCAACATAGGCAGAGACTTATTTGAAGACTACTATTGGTCAGAGAAAAAGAAAGAATACCTTACGACTTATGCAACTAGAGAGTTTGGAAGCTAAAAAACAGGCAGAATGGTTAGAATGGTTAAAACTTAGGGGAATAATGGGTTATGACACAATGTCAAAATTGACATTCAGATCCCTGCTGTTAAGGCAAACAAAACCCTTGTTGGTGGAGTTTGCTCACCCTTTTTCCTTAGCTGCACCCAAAGCAACGGACACAGTCACAATGTGTTCGCATGCGGTAGATTATTTCAAAGATATAGTCACTACCAGATGCCCTTTGACTCCCAGGACACAGATCTTTCAGAAACCTCGGATTTCTAGGACCGAACACAGGCAAGACTCACAATCCAACAGGCGCAGATTATGGAAGCACCCTATACGAAACAAGAGTTGAAGATAGCAGTTCATCAAATGGTGAAAGACAAATGCCCAGGCCTAGATGGACTGCCAGTCGAACTCTTTCAACAATGTTGGGGTTCCTTTGCTTCCTTTTTGTGCCAAGTTTACAACAGGGTTCTCCAGTCGGGCTCTTTTCCGAAGGGCTTTGCCAAGGAGTGATTTCCCTACTCTATAAAAAAGGGGAGAAAGCAGAAGTAAAGAACTATAAACCCATTTCAGTCCTCAATGTGGTGTACAAAATCCTGGCTAAGACCCAGGCACTCCGACTGGCAGATCTACTTCCAGACTTGGTAGGGTGGGAACATCCGAACAAGGAGTCTTTGTTAAGAGCAGGACAATCTTTGAAAAACCTTGGAAGTGTTAGGCAAAGAGGAAAGAAATGTGGCAGTTCTGCTACTTGACATGGAAAAGACCTATGATAAAGTTGGTTGGACGTTCATACTTACGACACTTAAAAAGATGGGTTTTGGGCCGACCTTTATCAGATCTGTAACACTAATGTATTCTCAAGCAACATCAGTCGTTATGGTTAACGAAAAGTTGTCAGAGGATTTTTTGCTATCCTGTTCCCTACGACAGGGCTGCCCTCTGACCCCACTACTCTTTGTGCTTCAGTTAGAGGTCCTGTTGGACAACATTAGACATAATGATATGATTAAGGGACTACGGATGTCCCCCTCTCTTCATTGGAAAGGGGGAGCCTTAGCAGACGATCTCTCATTGGCATGTGAAAACTCAATATCAACAAGGAACGAGACAAGGAACGTACTAGATAAGTAATGTGCACTATCAGAGATTTCCATAAATTGGGATAAGTCTGTGTTTTTCCTCTCCCCCAAGTTTGCTCTTTGTGTGGATTGGGGATTACGACAAATTCCGACTGGGAACTTTGACCGCTTCTTGGGAGTACATATCTCCCTATCCGACTGTGCAGGAACTCAAGATAATCTACTGGTGGAAAGGATCTCAGCAAGAGTTGCAGGGAGGATCAGATTTCATAAGCTCTCCCTGTTTGGTCGCGCAGTGGTCTTGTCAACAACAGCGTTTTTATTGCTTTGGTTTCCTCTAACAGTTCATTATCTTGTTGACGAGGCGTACAAGAAAATCATAAATTTGGCAACCAATTATTTGTGGAAACCTAAAGCGGTGGAAACGCAGAAGTTTTTGTCAAAAATAGCATGGGAAGCAGTAACTAAACCTAGGGAGGAAGGGGGATTGGGGATATTAGACCCACACCAGCAGAGCATTGCACTGTTAAGTAGGTGGGTGATAATGACCCTGTTCGAAGGGGAGTGCAAGTTATGGGTAAAATTTGCGGAGTATATTCTTGGTGAGGAGTGGGCTCTGAACTCTGAATCAGATGTATGGAGAGCTATTATGTTAGATCCCTACGCCAACAAAAAAGCTAAATCTAAAGTATAGTCAGCTATCCTTACTCCATGGAAACAGATACGGCCAGTTCTACTCAGACAACCAGAGACTCGAATAGAAATACTGAATCAGTATCTATTTGAGAATCCATTTATTCTTCGAACGAATGGAGAGCCGTTTCGGATCTCGAAGGATGTGGGGGATTTTGGTAAGAGTTGGGCAGAGAAGGGTATTATACAGGTAAAAGACCTCTGGGATGCAGACCTTGCTGATTGGATCTCCCCAGCTGAACTGAAATTGAAACTGCCAAGATTACGTAATGTAGATCTCAACTTCACGCTTATCAAACAGGCCATACCCCTCTACTGGAAGACCCTTTTGAATGACTGCACCGAGCATGGGGAAGGAACATGGCTCTACCACCCTACAGACACGAACCCCCAGCGTATTATGAGGGTAGTGGGACCAGAATTAAGGGGGGGGATGAAGGTTAAGGCCTGGATGACAAAGAAAGGAGGCAAAGGTGAGTTCTTGGTGGAAGCAGGTGATGAGTAAGCGTTTCAGACAACAGTGGGTCTGTCAGAAGCAAGGGTTCTGGAACTGAAGGGCAACAAGGAACACCAATACGTACTACTAAAGAAGGAAGCCAAGGACCACAAGGTTGAACCCTTATTGTTTGGATGGAAGGGGACTTCAAGTGTAAAAAGTATTCCGTTGTATAGGTACAAACCAAAGACGGGTATCGTTCCAAAGACAAAAGGTAAAAAAGAAACCTTGTGAGATGGCCTTGAAAAGATTTCAAAAACAAATGGGACTCCAAGATAAACAGCCAGATTTCAAAGTCATCTGGAGGGCTTTGAAAAAGTTATCGTCTCAAAGGCATGCAGGTATAATGTGGCTGCAAGCCATGCAGGCCACACCATCAGCGGTATGGTTGGAGGGCAAGGGGATGGAAATAAACATAAATTGTCAGAGATGTGATTGGGGTTGGGAAACCAGCACACATCTATGGTTACATTGCCCATTGTCTGAAGAGCTATGGCGCTGGTGGAAGAACCACTGGCACAACGTAGTCGGGTCTCAATGAGATTGGTCAGATGAATGGATCTTGCATGCTATTCCTCCACAGAAATCAAACTTCACCACTGGATGGGGTTATGTGGCGTTTGTCTGTAGGGGAGCAATTATGAGCATATTGTGGAAAGCACGTAATGCGAAGGTCTTTAAGGATGAAAAAATGTCAGTTCAGCAACAGATAATGCTAGTGAAGGAACAAATCCGGTTAGCCATCCGCTCGGATTGGCAGGCTATGAAGAGCAGACAATCAAGATTTTGCCACACGTGGGCAAAAGGAAATACGTGGGCTTCTGTCTCGTCTGAGGGACGTTTGGAGCTCTCCAAGTGGTTACTTCAAAGCAGTGGAGTGACTTGATAGGTCGCAAATTAGACCGAGAGGACTTAAATAGGATAATGTTGGTCGTTGGACAGACCAAGGAATAAACAGGCTGAGAACAGTTAGTGCTGATCGATGAAATTAGAACAGCCTTTCGTTATCTTTTTAGTACATATTCCATTTCGATGAGAGATAGACACAGGTTGTAGGAATGGTGGATCACTTGATTTTTTCATACAACAGCCCCTTTTTTTAATAGTGCTTCAAGGCACTTTTGAGAAGATGGATTATGGAGATAGAGAGTAGGCATGGGACGCTGGACCCGGTTTCCAGTTTGGTTCTTGGTTCTATGGCTACTCCGGGTTGAATTGTGAGGTCCCCGGGGCTACGTCCCACTACAGACGTTTTACCACGCGAACGTTTGGTTTCCGATCACGTGTGGCAAAAGGTGACACATAACGACCGCCCAACTTCGGGGATCTGAACGGCGGACAAGATTTGGAGGTGTCCCGACCAATATCTTTATGTCTCCCCCAATGAGAGCTTCGAACTTTTGATTCTTTCACCATTTTTCTTTATTCTTAGGCCGGCGACGACGACGCAATATTATGGAGGTCGTGAGGTGGGGGGTAATATTTCATCGATCTGGCCCTTTTCTTTACAAGGAAAATCGGGAGAAAGGGGTCGCACTTCATTCCGAAAACGATTAAATGCTGCCTCTGACAGTTCAAGGGCCGCGGATAACGGCGCGTCCATGGCCGTCGGGCACATAAATGTAGACCTACGTATTAGGCCTCACATGGAGGGTACGTGCATGGTGTGGTGTCTCTCTCACCCCGAGAAACAGACCGCATACATGTAGACGATGTTTTTTTTATTGACATTCACGCTTACCCACTTTCCCAATGAGGAAAGTCCGCAAGACATGTGGAAACGTTCGGGATCCGAGGCCGATACTTTGGCCTTTTCCATTACAAATGCCTTGCGTACCGCCCTCCCAAACTCGGTTCTTTGACGGCCCGTTGCTCATACTCCACCGTTATGTTCTCGTGAACATCCCGATGCCGTTTGGCGTTCTGCGTTCCTCGTCCGCCATCACCTCACCGTCTGTCTTCCTCGCACGGTCATCTGGGTGTTCGGCCATTACACTCCACTGCTGAATCTCTCAGTGCTCATGGCCTCTTCCAATGATCCTGCGGGACTCTCCTGCATACAGGATTGGGGGTATACGGAGTCCCAGTACGGAATACAGGGACCAGACAATGGATCGCTCGGGACGCCTGCGGTTGGACAAGCAGGAATGCACACGCAGCTTCCCTATGCTTCTCGCGGGGACTGTGGGTCCTTGAACGGGACAGGGAGCGAAACCCAGTGGCCCTTGGAAGACAGTGTGGGTACACAAGTATCGACTTCACGGCCTTTGGGGACACTGGGACAAGTGGGCACGCCTGTGGGGAGTGGGGTTCCATCATCGGACCCCACTTTGTCACAGGTTTCAGAACCTCGTGATGTCACGGGCAGGGTGACACATGTCCCACAAAGTGATTGTGGGCCACCCTTACCTGGCTTCAGCACACCGATTCAGCCCATTGGTGGTTTCTCTTTCGGGGTCGGTGGTGAAGATGACGACATTTTGCGGGAGCGTCTAAGAAGGCGTGCCATTGCAATGGCGGAAGGGCAATCATCTACCGCATATTGTGCACAACATTTGTCTTTCCACTCTGACGAAGCTCCGAGTGACGACTGTCGTGCTGCGTCTTCTGGTTTGTCACCCATCACCTCTGTGAACCGCGTTTCTAGTGCTTCTCCGACGCAGAGGGGGGGGGCTGCCACCACGCCACCTCTGTCAGACATGGGCGTCGGAGGACGTAGGTCGTCGTCATCTCCGGTCCCTCATGGCAGTCCGCATACCCCTAGCGTGGCATCTCAGCATCATGTGCCATCAGAGTACTTGATCAACCGACTAATTCGGGACATTGAGGATGGCGTTTCCCCCTCTCCAGTTGCTGCAGACACTGCAGCGGCCTTCCCAGTCGGTGGCAATGCAGCTGCCCCTTCACGAACACCTCCTCGCCGATCTGTTGATCCGGCGCCTGTGAATCGCACACCCACCCGGGACGGTGGCCGCGGTGAATGTAGCCAAAGCCCTTCGGGTGCAGTCCGTGAGGCGGGGACTTCTCCTGCTGCAGGTCCACAGGGACAGCAAGGTCGGGCATTGGCACCTGAAAAGAATAAGGACCGTTGGGGGGAGGATGAGACTGCGTGGTTGTGCCGGTTCCGCAATGAGGTGAAGTTGCAGATGAATGAGGATACAGAGGCATACGGACGGGCAGGGTTGAAGGGAAACTTCTGGAAGAACGTGGAGCTGCGTATGAAGGAGAAGGGTTACAATCGCGATCACGAGTAGTGCAAGAACAAGTTCAACCAAGTCATAGAGTACTACCGCAGACTGAAGTGCCATGAGCGATGGTCCGGACAGCCGAGCTATTGGGACATGAACAGCACGAAAAGGAAGAAATATAGTGTCGATTTCGTATTGCGTCGAAGTTGGTATGACATCATCGACTCCATTGAGAAGGACACGGACTCTATAAACCTCACGTATTTGAGGGACAGCGGTGACGACCCTCGGCGGCAGACGGAGACTGACGACATGGCGGATGCGGATGGACAGACGGAGGGGGTGAGCGATGACCCAGGCAGAGGAACCGGAGCTGCATCCGGCGGGACACGATCGACAACTTTCGAACCCACGCTCGGGAAGCGGAAAAAAACGGTTTCCAATGCGGGTGAGGCCAGCTTGCAAGCGGTGACAAGCGCAATGCGTGACCACACGACTCCGCTCACACGATCCGATCGAGAGTGCGCGAAGATGCGCTGTGAAACCACTCGTGATGTGGCAAAGCAACAGGCTGAACTGGCTACACAGCTCATGCAGCAGGAATTAGCTGGGCGTGAGAGGGTGGCCAACATTGTCGGGGGTAGGGTCGAGAGTGGAATGAACCGCCTGGCAGATGCCATTGTAATGATGGCATCCCGAAGGAGGAGCCATTCGCCTAATGATCCCACTCATGATGACTCTGAGTAAGGTTTTTTGGCAAGTCCACCCTGTGAGAAACTCATTGCAGTCTCTAAGGGTGTTTCCGAGCTTGTCCACGTGCTAAGCGCCAGTCTGCCACTCTCTCTCTCTCTCTCTCTCTCTCTCTCTCTCTCTCTCTCTCTCTCTCTCTCTCTCTCTCTCT